GCCATGCAAGCCTTGCCCACCAGAGCAGATGTCACGTGACATGGCTTGGTGGGCAGCGCCGGCTCTTTAAGGGACGACGCAAGACCGGGCGAGAGATAGCTGGCCAAAACATCCTCAACACGGGGCATCGTCCCATAGCCGAAACCCTTAACCCCCGCAACGTCGCTGTAAACCCAGAGCGGGGGAGTAGTCAGACGTGCTGAGAAGGGCTTGCCCCAGGATTTGCACAACTCGTCGTGCAAATCCGGGAAGAAAGGCAGAGATCGGCGCGGAGGCGGCGTGCAGTGCCGCAGGAAACGCTCATCCAGCTTACTCGCAGCATGTGTGTCTGGCACAGCCTGAGGCCAATCGAGCTGGAGCTTGGCCACTGCCCGTGTCACCACCTCCACCATAGGCTGACTTTGTAATTGTCTTAATGTGGCTCCTCAAATTCAGGTCTGAGTCCATGACTACAACAAGATTTCTGGCTTGGTTTGTGGTTCTTAACATTACAGATTGAAGTCGAGCAGTGACTTTCAATCGTTCCTCCCTGGCTCCAAAAACAATAACTTCAGTTTTATCTTTGGCCTATAATTGCTCATTAGTGAACTGTCTAGATTGCTCTTTTTTAAGAGTGGCTTAATGACTGCAGTTTTCAGGTCCCGTGGGGAAAAAATTGAGGAGAGACATGTTGACAATTTGTAGTAGATCTGAGGCCATGCATTTAGACACATTTTTAAAAAATACCATTTGGCTGAATATCAAGGCAGCATAAGGAGGATTTCAGATGTTGTATTATGTCCTCCAGGTTTTTATGGTTAATAGAATCAAATTGTCTCATGCTATATGAATTGTTTATAAGTGGACACAGGGACAAGATATATCCTGTTACTGACATGGAGGTACTGCTTGCTTGTCTAATTGTTTGAATTTTGTCTGTGAAGAAGGAGGAAAATTCATTGCAGGCCCTGGTGGATAGAAGCTCAGAAGCTACAGACACAGGAGGGTTGGTTAGCCTGTCGACAACAGCAAACAGGACACGTGCATTATTAGTGTTTTTGGTGATGATGTCAGAGAAGAAGGACAGCCTTGCATTTCTCGGTTCTAAATTATAAATACGAAGTCTCTCTTTATAGACGTCATAATGAACCTGGAGATTTGTTTTCCGCCACCTGCATTCAGCTTTTCGACACTCTCTTTTTTGAGTTCTAACCAGCGTGGCTGTCACGTTACTGCTGGGGACAAACTGGCTGCGAATCACAGCACGAGGTCAGTCCGCTTCACAGCACTCACTGGGGTCACATCAGCTGGGGCTGGACAAAGTTGCTTTCAGGTGAAGTGTGAAAGCAGAATATCTTCAATTCAATTTTATTTATATAGCGCCAAATCACAACAACAGTTATCTCACAGCGCTTTTCATAAAAGAGCAGGTCTAGACCGTACTCTGTGATGATATTTACAGAAGCCCAACAGTTCCCACCAAGAGCAGCACTAGGCGACAGAGGCAAGGAAAAACTTCCTTTTAAGAGGCAGAAACCTCAAGCAGAACCATGGCTCAGGGTGGGCGGCCATCTGCCTCCACCGGTTGAGAGAGAGAGAGAGAGAGAGAGAGAGAGAGAGAGAGAGAGAGAGAGAGAGAAAAAGAGAGAGAGAGAGAGAGAGAGAGGCAGTGTACACAATATCCACACACAGAGGTACAGACAGTAAAGGTGATGTTGCTATAGACTAAATGAAAAACGGTACAGATATTTATAGTAGTGTTAATTATTATAATAACAATAATAACAGTAGGACTAGTAACAATAGTCGTAGCAGCAGAGGGTGTCGAGCAGGAACACGGGGGCAGCAGGTGACCCGCAACCACAGATCCAGACTCCACAGCTCCAGAGCCAGAAACACCTGCAGGAAGTGATAGGAGGAGAGAGGAGAGGGACGAGAAAGCACAAGTCTACCGGAAAGGGGAGAAGTTGTGTTAGTAACATGCAATAATGGGATGAGGTTGCATACAGAGGGAGAGAAAGTAGAGGAGAGAGGAGCTCAGTGCATCATGGGAAATCCCCCGGCAGTCTAGGCCTATAGCAGCATAACTAAGGGATGGTTCAGGACTCACCTGAGCCAGCCCTAACTATAAGCTTTATCAAAGAGGAAAGTCTTAAGCCTACTCTTAAATGTGGAGATGGTGTCTGCCTCCTGAACCCAAACTGGAACCTGGTTCCACAGGAGAGGAGCTTGATAGCTGAACGCTCTGGCTCCTAGTCTACTTTTGGAGACTCTAGGAACCACAAGTAACCCTGCATTCTGGGAGCGCAGTGCTCTTCGCAATATTACGTAGGTGAAATTTGCTTAATGTGAGACTTAAACGACATGTCCTGATCAAAGATAACTCCAAGATTCCTCACAGTGGTGCTGGAGGCCATTAAATTCATGGTCCATGTCTGCAAATTTGAGAAATTTGCTAAGCTGTGATTAACCTGAAACACTCAAACTCACCCTCAATTCTGTCCCAATTAAATATCTGACCATGTTGGCATTGAAAGGATATTCTATTCCAGTAAAAGGAAATTAAAACCACAAGTTTTACAATAAAGAGTTTATTTTCTTAACTCAATGAATGTCTTTGTCTCTGCTCGTGTCTTAAAATGTGGGCCTGTCCAACTTTTGATCTTGACATCTGTCTAACCTTAGTATAAGGTAGTATATAGATTTTGCATTTACAATAAAAACAAAGCTCTGTAAAAGTTTATGTCAAGCCAACAAAATCCAAACTAACTCAATTTTTTTTTTGTCCAAGGTCTGTCCTATGTTTGTGGTTGATGTCATTCCAACATTACGTTTTGACATACGATTTTTATTCTCAACTAAAATCGAACATCTGTCCAACGTTAAAAGTCGATGTCGATCCAACGTTGGGTTTTGACGTCAACATGATTTTCATTTCCAACTAAAATATAACTATATAAATATAAATATAATATATATGTAGCTAAATTTAAGGATGTGATTCCATCAGCTCTGAATTCATTATCAAGTCACAAAGTAACGGAGGACTCCTATGCTAATTTCAGTCCCTCCCAAATCGATCATCTTGTTGATAGTGCTGCAGGCTCGCTGCGAATGACACTGGACTCTGTAGCCCCTCTAAAAAAGAAAATACTAACTAACAAAGACGGTTAGCTCCATGGTATAATACTGAAACTCGCAAATTAAAGCAAATATCACGGAAACTTGAGAGGAATTGGCGTTCCACCAAAGTGGAAAATTCTCGTTTAATTTGGCAAGATAGTCTTAAAACTTATAGGAAGGTCCTCCGTAATGCCAGAGCAGCGTACTACTCGTCATTACTAGAGGAAAATAGGAACAACCCCAGGTTTCTTTTCAGCACTGTAGCCAGGCTGACAGAGAGTCACAGCTCTATTGAGCCAAGTATTCCCATAGCTCTCAGTAGTTACGACTTCATGAGCTTCTTTAATGAGGTCATGTTTTAGCAGTACTGTAGAAGGTGTGACAACAAGCCTGACAAAATACTTTTCTAAGCCTAAATCTAAGACACAGAGTGTAGTTTATTTATCGGTAGGGTAGGATACCACTATCAATACTTAACTATTATTTGGTGATGGTTATTTGGTAAGACCAGCCCCAACGGGCATGAGGTAGGCCTGCACGGTGTGAGGAAAATATTCAATTAAAATATTTATAGGATTAGACGTTTTAAATGTTTTACAGCTAAATGTTGTTTCTAGACCAGCAATATTAATGTTCACAACAGCAAAGTCCTTGCTACAGACAGACAGCTTTCTATTTAGCTTGTTTTTAACATTTGGCTAATTACCAAGCTTTGTTTGTGCTCAATTTACGGACCCAGGGGCTGTGTAGGAAAACCAGATTTTTTTCTAGAGCACACGAAAAACTGAGATCTACCGACCCATTAGGAAATATTCGCCAAATTTAACAAAGTGTATAGTATAATGATCGCAAAGTACCCCTTTAATTGACACACTGTAATGTTAATGTTTCCCTCAGGATGGAGTTGTAGCAGCGGAGGTGAAGCAAAAGTTTTGTCTGAATATAAAACCCCAACAGAACATGCTCAGCAGCATTGCTCTTATGTCCAATATTTTCTTCTGCTCGCGTTCACAGTCACTTTTTGCACACTCAAAACAGTGCCAGTCACTTTTTGCCGCTCGGACAATTAAACACGATACACACTTACGCACTTCCCGATTCCCTACAGGAGTTACGCTGCTCTTATAACATCACCTGTCACATAGAAGTTTCTGACAAAGCAAAAGTGCTTGAGGCTTGAGGCTATCTTTTTTTGTTTCATAGCGGTTGGCATCACCGACACCGACTTGATTAAACAGTGCAAAATATTTACAGTGTCCACCCAAAGTGATTCCATTCACAACTATAGTCTGTCTAGTTATTTTCAAGTTATTCTTTTTGTATTTTTGTGTCTGTAGCAGCATTCTCGTGAGCCCCCAGTGAAAACATTTGTAGCACATAATGCAGTGATCGTAGGAAATTTTTGTAGCACCGGTCATGATTCAGCAGCGGCGCACAGCCTCTCCTGAATGGATATAGGGGAAACACTGCAGTAATATGAACTTTAATACAACATTATAATGAATTTGCATCTTTGCATTGACTTTGTGTGTAATAAAGACGCGCGAAACACTGGATTCGCTTTCATTGTGAACACACCATTATGCTTGCTGTTAAAGACTGGTCACCGACTCCTAAAATGCAGTAGAAGGCTGTAAGAATTATTTATAATACACACACTACTATAAGGTGAAATAAACTACTATAAGGTGATTATCAAATCTTGTTTTGTGTTCTAGACTACAGGCTTTAGAGGTAAGAGGTATTTTGTGCAATTTATATATGCTACATGTTATATAACACATTTGTTTTTGACAAAGAATTTTCAAAGCTCAACCAGTGAAATATTTGTAAATTTAAAAAAAATTCTTTTGTATCCACAGGTTGATGACAAATGAGGTTATGGCAAACTTCAATATGAAGGGCGGGAAGGGCAGCTTGCCTTCACGAAGCTCCGGCTCTTCACTGTTGTTACAGGTAAAAAGCATATATCCTCAGTGTTTTCTAGTGTCTATTTTTGGAGTTTAGTGAAAACCAGTAACCACAATTGCCACCTATTAACAGCCTGGTCGCTACCTGCAGGAAATGTCAGATTTTCACTGCACTAAATTGTTTTCTACTGTAAACATGCTGAATAGATGTCTTTTACATTTTTTGATATCTTTAAAACAAAGAAATATGCTGGCATTCAGTTTTTTCTGCCAGTATGTAGCCAGCTGCTTGCATTTTAAGAACACCATCTAAAGTAATGGCCCTTGAAAATGTCTGCATCTTAATGTTTTTACTGCTTACTGTATTCCATTATATTCTATATGCCCCAAAGATTTACAGTTTCAAATATTCTTTACAGAGAGTGTTCAGAGGACGACTGCAGAAACGGAGGCAAGCATTGCAGCGGCTGTCGCCTTCTGTTTGAAATATGCCCCAGACAGGGTGGGCGGAGGTGGAAGAAAAAAGAACGTTTCTGAAGTAAAATTTTTTTTAGTTCATAAGTGGGGTCTGAGACAGTTTGTTGAGTTTTTTTAAAAATGTAGTTTTCATTCATTTTTCAAACATTATACCTGCTAAACACCAGCATGTTAGCATTGACATTTTTTGAGAGTATTTTAGAATTTTTTAGGTTTGCTTGATTATCAACCACTTAACAATTTTGCTGTTGGCCTATCTACAATTGTGTATATTGAATCACGTTCATCAATTAGGTTACAGATAGAAGATATGTAAATCTGTGTTTTATTTCTTTCTGTACTTAAAATCTCAATCATTGTTCTCTGTTCCCAAAATGCATGGTCCATGTAAGCACCACGCTTTCTCTCACACAAGTCCAAAAGGATTGATACAGCTACTGTTAGGCAGAGAAAGTGTTCATATACATTCCTGTGCAACAACTTTTTCAAAACAACAGGTCCAGTGTGTAGAAGGAATTGCTGAAGCTCTGTGGCACTGATCTAATTCTGCTAGGGGTCTTGGTTTGCGAGCAAATTCACTAGGCAGTTTCCCAGATAAAGAAGAAGAGTTGAAATCTCCCCTACTTTTCTAAGTGACAGTCTACATTCAGGTGGTCCTTTTTTTAAAAAGCACAGCAGTCTTTTAACAACTCCAAGACATACTATATGCATATAGTCCAAAGGAAAACCTGTGACACATCTTATTCCTACATTAGGTAATGGGGATACTCCAACCTGATGATCAGGTCACTTAGATGCAGAAAGTGAAATGAGCAGAAGCATAAACAACTAACTGAACAGATAACTGAATGTTATGGTCAACTTCATTCCGCAATATGCATGTCGTTTTGGGTGCTTCTTGAATGACCTGGGTTTTGCCAACCTGTTACAGCAGTACTGCTACCCTTATTATTATATATATAGCCTGGTAGTACTGCAATTGCTTTTTGTGTATGAAAAGTGGTATTTTAATTAATTTACTTTGGTGAAGTCGAAGGTCCGCGCTGAATGCACACGCGGTCACGCAACCGGGGGAACACTTTCTGTCACTGAGTAACTGAGTAACGTCACCCAGCTTTTGCACCAGAGTCGAAAAACTCGGTGCCCGGATGCGATTTTATTCACGTCACTATTTTTACTAGGTATATAACTCTTATATCATTGTCACATTAGTATTGCAATGCAGTCAAACTTAAAGTAACGTAATTTTAAGCAAGGTGGGAAAAGGCGCCAGTTCACAAAATCAATTCTGACAAGAAACTTGACAAAACAAACTCTGTGCCACTGAAAAAAAATAAAACTTACAAAGCTTACTAACTAACGTTCTTATAACCACAATTGATATACATTTTCCTTACCTCTGCTCACGGTCATCGTCCACCAAACTTGTAACCGTCGACGTACAGATGAAAGGTGTCTGACAGGCAACTTACTCCTGGATCTTTCCGCTGTAAGACCACAGAGCGGAGGAGTGGCCTTACAGTGATTGGCTAGAAATGTGTTTCAAATTTGTTTGAAGATAGACCTGCAACTATGTATGTAAAAAACGCGAGCAAGTCAAGTTATTTCAAAATCTACAACTTTATGAAAATGTATATAATTTGTGCAAGTACATTTTCTGTGATTATTGTTATTAAATTAATTCATCGTATTATTATCATCATTATTGTTGTTGTTGTTTATTATTATTATTATGTTAGAGATAGTGTCTAAAATCCAGAGGCAGGAATGCTATTGGTCCGTGATAATTTTATCCTGAAGGACAGATAAAAAGACAATTATTGGTGATTAAGGGATTTTCTGGATGGTGTATAATATGTATGATAAACATGGGCCAATGCCAATCAAACCCCTAAGCCAGGAACACTGAATACACAGTAGATATTTTAATTGACCTTTATTATATGGTTTCTTAGCAAACTAAAAAGCGGTCCCTTCATGGATTACTGTGCCACTATCCCCAAATGAACGCACTGAAATTAAACATAATAAGTGTAATGTCCCAACCATTATCCTTGATAGATTAGGTCAAATCTATTTGAGGTTTCAATGTGATTCACCAGTTTTTAAAACTTAATCATCTGTGCTTGATCACCAAGCCACCAAAACTGCTTACCTAGGAGGTCCCTCACAACAGCCAAGCCATCCGTGGCCCAGAACAGGTAGGTAGGTAATTGCCTGTCATGTATAAAGCAAGTTTGCTCCAAAAACACCAAAAGACAAAACAAATATTTATAACTGCTTTACTTTAACCAAGCAGTCTAGGAAATCAAAACAGGACTTGCCTTGGTGACCACCTCAACCGCACTGCCAATGATGGCTGCCAGATAGGACACATGTGTTTTGGCATTTGTCTGACAGCTGCACTGTCATGGTGCAAAATTCCAAAAGAAGTTATGTTTGCAATGCCTGCGTCTCATGGAAACTAAGTTGAGTGATCTGTAGAGGGCCAGTGTGATGATACAACTTTGCTATAATAAACATTTCAGGGCTATTAGGTGGCCTAGTAGCTCACTTGGTACAACATGTAAGGTTATAGCCCTGAAGAAACAACTTCAAATTTGGTCATGGAGCTCTTGAGCGTTAGATGTTGGATTAGATACCCAGTCTCACAACCTGCTTTTATCTAAGCTCAACTGTCGTAGTATCATTGTGACATTTGAGAGATTTTGACAACGATTGATACAATCTTGAAGTTAATAATGAGCCCTGAACCAATGTGCAATGTGTATTGTTGTGCTGTCTTCAAAAGTTTTGGGTTGCTACTTAATATCACATTTCTTTCAGGTTTATATCCACTTTATTAATTTTGGATCACCACACTCCTGGTGAAGCAATTGTTTCTACAACTGGGTCAAATTTGATAGGGTCTACTTGCATGGAGCTGCATCTATTGTATGAATAACAAAACACCAATGTCTAATGTAGTCTGTATCTGTAAGATGTTAGCGCTCTTTTGGAAGGTGGAACTGTTGTTAGATTTTGGATATTTAACACCACAACTTAGAACAAACAAAATATCAGTGTTTAACAATGTTAGCAATGTTTTACAGGGTATTGGTCACCGTACCTCACAACAAAATGTCAGTATACTATCAATATGATTTTGGCCTGTGATGTTTGGAAGATGTTACTGAACACCAAAACCTTAAAACCAACAAAATATCAACATCTAATGACGCTGTAATTTAATATTGTGTGGATGTTACCTTCATGACATTTAGCAGACTTTGGGTTTTGGTTCCCATATATCATGACCAAATCTTGGTATTCTACGTTAAGATGGCGTTGGCACGAGACATTTGGAAGACGTTGGATTGTGGTTACTTAACACCACGACTTAATACCAACAAAATATCAACATCTAATGATGTAATTTAACGTTGTGTGGACGTTACCATCATGATATTTAGCAGACGTTGGGTTTAGGTTCCCATACATCATGACCAAATGTTGGTATTCTACATCAAGATGACCTTGGCACAAGAAGTTTGGAAAACGTTGGATTTTGGGTACTTAACACCACAACTTAAAACCAACAAAAAATCCACATCAGATGACGTCAATTTTCAACATCAAGTTGACGTTGGTATTAGACGTTGACGTGATGTTGGAATTTGGTTATCCAACGTTGCAACCTATATCCAACCAAAGATCAACATCTTTTGACGTTGGTGGCCAGCTGGGCTGTTCCCATGAAGGCAGCACGGAGCTGCGCAACAAGTAGCTGACAGAAACCTTGAAGAGAAGAGTCACGATACACAACATCTCGTCCAGTCGCAGTGGATCTTTGGTGTAAACTGGTTTTAAAACTTTCACTTTCAAATGCCCCCCAAAAGTAGCTAAGCGCCCTCCTTTCCAAAATATTGCTTCCAGCACCACCTGTCATACTCTGTACCACCCCGTTGAGCAACACACTAGTTAAATCCTGGCGGCCGATTTCTGCATGCCTGCCTTGAATTGCATGTACCTCGGTGTAGATCTGTTATTCCAATCCTTTTCAGACACTCACACCACCTGTGCACACTGATCAAATGCGGTTATTGCAACTTCTATACGTGTATTAAAATACTGATAAGTTTACACGTTCCTAAAATATATACTTCTATTTTCAATTCAGTTTTATTTATATAGCGCCAAATCACAACAACAGTTATCTCACAGTGCTTTTCATAAAAGAGCAGGTCTAGACCGAACTCTGTGACCATCACGATCATGATCTCTTTTGAGCCTTTTGCTACAAAGTATTGTCACATAAATTAACTTCTCTAATCCGTGCATGACTCTTTAAAATCTGGTCAGCATACCCTCCCGTTCAATGAATATCGTAAGCACAGCTTGGGATTCCTCAAAGCTGTGCTAGCTTAACAAGCTAAGCTAACATGCTATTTATGCCGACAACGATACCTGCCAATTATTGCTTACACATTAATTAAATACTACAATTTGACTCTGTACTGCCACCTATTGAGTTCAGCAAATCAGTGTACTGCAGTGCCTCCTGCTGGTTAGTCAGGAGCAGTAATTGTAGAACAGGGGATTTCCACAAAGCCAAGTAAGCCAGGTGAACAGTGTAGTGCTGTTGCATTCTCCTGCTGTAATTTTGTTGGACAGTAAAGAGTCACCGAAACAACTGGAGCACTGGCTTCTTGTGCAGTCTGTTGTACAATTTAACAGTAGAGCACGGCATAAGGTTCCTACGGTCAGCTGGGCTTGCTCCAGCTCCAGCGACGTACTCAGAGGACGACAAGTTGACAGCCAAAAACCTTGATCAGTTTGTCAGGGGGTGTGGTTTGTGATTGAGTTTCAGTAGGAAGTTCATGCATTTCTCACCTCCATTTGATTATTTACTTTTTGGTACTTCAACCCTTGAGGCTACCTTATTTAAATGATGAATGCCAATTTTGGTTTGTGAATGATGATAATGATAATTAAAAATGATTTTCATTCTATCACTACTGTTTAAATTAATCAAATCACTTGAATATTT